CGCCCGCACCCCCGGTCCTGCGTGCCCTCCTGGGGCTGCGCCCGCACCCCCGGTCCTGTGTGCCCGCCAGGGGCTGCGCCCGCACCCCGGGTCCTGGCAGTGGGTGACAGTGACCCATCGGCCCTTGTGGAACGCGCCAACCTCGGTGCCAAAGTCCTCCGGCAGGCCGGTCCGGAGACGGTAGGCTGTTCTAACACGAGCCTGCTTAAAAACAGTGATGATAACAACAACATCATAATGATAATAAAATAATAGAATCATGATAACAATAATAAAACAATAACGATGACATAATGTCTCCCAATTCTCCCCTGGGCGCCGAGTTCGGTGAGCATTGGGTTTTAGGCCAACTGCTGCTGTCCCGGCCTGGGTGGGCTCTGCAGGAGGCCGCTACCCCAGCTACCCCAGGTGCGGACACTGGGCAGCAGCACGCCAGGAGCATGGCCCTGCTGGCCAGGAAGCCGGCACCTTCAACTAAATGCAGAGCAAGGCCGGGCGGGGAGGCCTCATTGGAATGTAATAGGTATGTAATGAGGTTGAGGGTAGCTGGGAGCAAAGACACAGCTGATTATACAGCAGATAGGCGCATTAGCAAAACAAACGCCCTCCACTCAACTCCCTCAGTGTATGCAAACTCTAATTGTAAACCTGCTAAGGTTAGGGAACAGGAAAAAAATGCCTAAAATCTTTAAATAAAGAATTTCCTAATGGGGAGGTGTGAATAAGAGGCCGTCTGAAATTCGACTTGTTTTTTTACAAAATGCCAAGAACTTGTTTTCAAATTTCTCTAATTGTGGAATGTTCTTCAGACTCACCTCTTAAAATAAGTGGGCATTAAACAAAGCTCATCTTCATCAACCAAATGTATACACAAATAACAATGAGCATTTAAAAAAGTTGTTTTCCAGTATTTTAAACTTAGACAACTTCATTAAATATTTTCTAAAATTTCCTATTCCTCGAAAGTTTTGCTGTAGGTAACTCCTTAGAGGAAAAATATACAGCTTACACAATGCCAAATCATTCACATGGTTTATAAACTTTAAATTTTACAATATCAAAGTATGTAAAGCTTATTACAAGAACTTTTTTTTTTAATTTGGAACATACATTAGGGATAGTTGTTTCCTGAGAAAATGCTGGAAAGTTGAGCTGACTTCGATATCACTACAAGTGAGTTCAGGGTTGAATTAATTTACATAACTGTAAGCAATTCTCTTTGCAAATGAACATTCCCCAGATTTTCTTTGTAGCAAACTATAGCATGTGACAGAGAAACACTTTGTTTTACACAAAGATCTCGTGCTTTTCTCGAAGGTCTTGACCCAAACAAATCTGTTTGCCGTAAAGATTTGCATTTTCACATTCCCATTAGTGTTTTTTATGTGCTAAGTATTTTTAGGGTTCACTTGTAGATGCATGGAATCTGGATCAGTTCCCCTCTGGTCATTTCGATGTTTCCCTTTGAAAGGATGCTAAATTACAACTGCTTCTGATCGGTGGGAAGTATGCACAGAGCACTGAAGCACTCTGTCAGATAATGCCATTTTGTTTAATGCAGTTTTTTAATGGTAACCCCAACCTGAAGGAGAAGTGCTTTTCAAAGCACAATAATCATTTATCTGTAGTCCTTCAAAACTAAAGAAAATTATAAAAAATGGCGTTCTGACCATTTTGACCTGTTAATGAACTGAAGGAAATGAAAAGAAGTAAAAATTTATAAGAAAACATTCAAAATTTTTTCCCTAAAATATCTAAAAAACTACAGCTAGTGAAGGGGGGAAAAATCTCCAATTCACATATCTTACAGAATGAGAATCGCCACTTGTAATTTCCAATAGGCTTGGTATAAAAACACCAATATATCAAGATGACCTCCATTGTTATTTTCCATGCTCAAAGGACAATGTGTGCTCAACATCTGAAAGGGATTCGCATTCCATAAAAGCTACAGGTAGGCAGACATTTCTTAAGACGGCCGCGATGACCATGAATACAAACAGAAGACTAACATTTCCAATGTGGAAATAAACTGCTATGGGGCAAGGACCGAAAGGAAGTGGTTTGGGGCGCAAAGCATGGCAGTGGGTGCTGATTGAGCACGGGTCCAGGTGCTGACTCTGATGCATTCCATAAAGAAAGAAAGGAGATCTGTGTAACCTGCTTCTGTGGTTCTTATTTTAATTATTAAAGGCACAGAGCAAGGCATAGAATACAGCATCTAACTGGACATTATTTATTTTTGTGTTCTCCATAGCAAGAAAACCTATTGTCCTGTCACGGCCATCTTAGTTTAAGCAAGTGTTGTGTCAGACTCAAATGTACTTAACATGCACTTAACCAATCTTTTAATTAAACTTGCATTTTGAACTGGCCATTATGCTCTAAAACTAAAAGTTATCACACTCATTGCTTAATATGGCTCAGAATTTTTATTTCAAGGTAAAAATCTTGTCAGGGAGAAGATCTCAAATGAGAAATTTATTACCAATTAAATTTTCCTTTCCTTTAAGGGGAGGAATTAAAAAACAAGCATTGTAAACATTATCATTAGCGCCCAAGTAATTATTTTTTTTTTTTGCATTCCGGTTCTGCAACTAAGCAATTTAAACTGTAAGTAGGCAAGGGGCTGAGAGGGAATTTCATAGTACGTAAGGGTAGCACTAAGACGACAAGAAAAATGCCAGCCATCTCACCAAGTGCTGTGGCCGACCACTGGCCTCCGTCCCCGCAGAGGCAGTTGTTTCTAGCAAAGGACCACACTCCTTCCTCTCTGCTTCTGGGAAACTGACCGCTCACTGGAACCAAACTGAGGCCGGGCTTCCGTGCAACCACGGTCACCTGCACTCTAAAGAGGCTGAAAAATGGTGATTTTTGGTTGATTTGCAGCCATCGGTGTTTGCTATTTACACAGCACCACGCGTCTGTGCTGTTAGGTGAGTTGCGCTGGTTTGCACAGGACTGGGAGAAACGCCGGAGCCTTCCGAGCCCCGCCTTCGACGTGGAAAGCTTCACCATGGCCATTAAAAAAAATACATGTAGTTTTCTACACCTAGATGAAACAGCGTGCCGAACAAAAATATCCGGTATTTAGGCTTGATTAGCTCATCATAAAAGAAATCCCTAACGCAGCCTCTCTGCTTGAATTCCGATCTGTGTCAGAAAATGCATGTGTACCACCTTCTCATCTTTCAGAGAACAGCGTGTCAGAAGACAGGCAAAATTTTTTGCCGTGACCTTTTCAAAGTCACATGTGAAAAGCGCTGCTGTAGCATATACGGGTATCTGACACGCTGCTTGCTTTAACCATTTCTAAATGCAGCTCCTAACGAGGCTTTTTATTTTCTCTTTTCAGGAGTTCAGCGCCTGGTACCCAAGCTCCCTAATCACAAAGAAGTAGTCAGAGAGAGCTTGGACAATTTTGCTAAGGACTTGGTTCTGTTACAATCTGGTAACATATTTTTAATTCACTACAATTAACAAAGGGAGTGGCTAAACTGGTTTAGCACAGGAAAAAGCCTGTTAACTTCACCCCTTTAATTTCTTTAAAATGCCACACAGGACAGGAAATCACACTTCCTACTTACCTTCACATCCCTTAAAAATCTAGTGAGCATTTTTCAAGTTTTCCCAAATTGTTAGGAGACACTTGTTTTCTTGCAAATTAATTCTTTTTAACTCCTTATGATAGCCTTGAATCCCATAAAGAAAGATGAATTATCACATACGGAACCCAAGCTGTGGCACAGGAGGAGACAAATAGAGACCCCCACTGTGTTTAACAATGTAGAAGAAATTCCAGGCGCAATAGAAAGAAATCCTGTCCTTCCTCCCCAGCCCGGCCGCGTGTGCTCACGGAGCCGAACGGTGGAGGGCACCCTTGCTCCGCTCAAACCCGGGCTGACCCACACACGCACTCAGTGGCCCACATCGCAAATTGGTGAAGTCACGGCCACCTGTGGCCGAGGCCCCAAGCGCCCGCTGTGCTCGGTTGTGGGTGAGCACTGGGGACGGAGCGTGTCTCCGTGGGAAGTGAGCACTAGGCACACCGAATGTGAGCGCGTGAGCGCTCGGCCCATTGGCACCAGAATGCCGTGTTTGTTACACTTCAAAGCCACACAATTGTCCTTTCAACCAGCTGCTATGCTGTGCTCACAAGCACAGTGAACACACTCACACTGCTATCTGTGCCTAATGAGAAACAGAAACCTGCAATGTGTCAGCAGAGGCCAACAACAACAACAACAGAAAAAGTCCAGATTTGGCGAGGGAGTTTTGTCAAGTCACTTTGGGTTGAGATGAGATGGCTGGGGAACAGAGGGAAGGTCTTCAAGATCGCCCCAGTGTGACTCACTTCTATTTGATGGCATGCCTCATGAAAAGCATCTACACAGCGCACACACGTTTTCAAATCCACGGCACAAATGAAACCAAGCTAGCTGCAGACATGCCTGCATCTAAACAGCGCTGGAGCCTATCCTGGCTCTGCCCCCTGGCCGTATCCAGGGAAAAGGCAACCAGCAACTGCTCCCCCAGGAGCTGGGATTAAATCATCCCCATCCTCCTTGTCACCTCAGAAGTTTGCTCTCATGCAGAAAAACCACCCTGGAAGAGCCTGGGATTCTGCACAAAAGAATCAGCCAGGGCCACGGAGAGGGACAGGCAGTAATGCCGGGTGAGGACCGAGTGTCTCGGCACCCGCAGGGTTAATGAAACGGTCCAACATGGAACAGCTCCTCAGAAGGAAGCGGGGTTCTCTTCTGAGAACCATCAACGCTTGAGCTGGGCTAGTGGCATTTGATAAGCTGCCCTGTGCGGAACGAACTTGCAAGATTTCTAGTTAACTCTCAGACTGTGTTCACACTTAACACAAGTGTGCGGCCTCCTGTTGCCAAGGTCAACAGCAGATGCACTAATTGTGTTATGAGCTTGACATCTAGTGGCCACCCCTGGCAGGGCTAACCAAGGTTTGCCAGCCAGGCTTGACAAAGCCCTCCTCGGGGTCCACCTTCAGACACAGCGGCCCGGCCGCCAGTGCTCTGCAGGTCCCACACACCCCACACACACACGGCTTTCACGCCTCGCCATGGGCAGAGGAGGCAAAGGGGTCCGATTCCCAACTACTCCAAGAACTAAAGAGGGCTGAAAAGACAGGAACACAGGCAAATGCTCGCCCACCACACTGCTGTCATCTGTTTTTTTTGGTGTCAAACGTGAGAACCTTTTCCTTTCATTAAGAAGCACATCCTCTTGGTCTCTAACATTCCACAGCCAACCCACTGTATTATTCAGATTAATTTCCTATGCTTCCTGTACCCTGACATGCTGTCTACTTGCCAATGTCATCATGCAGTGCACTACAGCTTAAATCAATGTTGAAATTTAAAGAAAATCCTGATGGTATTTTTAAAATAAAAAGTTTCAAGTAACATTAAAGCATTTGATTATCACGTAGCTTTTATGTTTGATGACTTCTTCAGTGTGCAGCAACTTAACGTAAGCTGTAATTACAAAGCAGCTCCACCAGCAGTACAATTAGTTCACAC